TGTATCTCCATTCATCATCTGCATGTTGTCAACACAAACCAAAGCCCTCTCAAATATAAACAAATCTGGCCGTGTAACACAGAGATAACACAAACCACTGCATCCATGTCAATAATTACAGCAGATGCAATCTCTCCCTGCGGAATAGAACGGATGAATCTGTCCAGCACTTCACATACATGGATAGTCACAGCCCTCCACTGTGCATCCACTACAGGAGCATATTTATCACTGAACATCCTGACGGAAACCCAAAATGATGTTTATACAGCAGAAAATATGGAGCAGGGGGGATTCGGTACGTTTGATGGGTTCCACCCTCCAGAGATTTAGACCTGTCAGAAATGTGAGTTTATGGATATTGGGTTTTTCACAAAATTCCCACTGTCAATTGTAGCCCAGCAGGAAGTGACCTTGATGTGGAAAATGCAACTTGAGCATGATTACCGCTGCATCATCCTGAGCAACAGCCGGTTTGACAGGCAAGGACATTCTGATTCTGATTCTGATTTTGACGTGGCTGAAAATGCAGGGACTAAAAATGAATTTTTTTTTAGTTTGTTTGGAACATTTTTTTTTCATTATGGCTTAAAAGTTCTAAGGTTTCCTTTTCAAAAGGTGTTTTCTAACAAATTTTTCACGATTATTCATTTTAACAACATTTCATATTGACTTAAAATGTATGCGCTAATGTTAAAAGAAAAAGATTAGGTCAACACTTGCAGATTTTTTTATTCAGATGAAAATGAGCCCTAACTAACTAATAATCTTTTTGCTTTGGCTCTTGGGGGAGTGTTTAGACCACCCGGAATTCCTATATTCGCACCCATTATAAAAAATAATATTAATACAAATATTACATATTTGAAAACTCCTCTCTTTACCTTTGCATGACCCTTCAAGCCAATCTTGAGATTCTCTCTTTAAAACACTCTTAAAACATGTAGCAGAACTTGATTAAAACAGCTAATTTAATGTGCTTCACACACTAATTCATCCATCTCTGTCAGAAAGTGTAATGGTGCTGGAAATCAGTTTCGCTGACAAGATGTTTATATGACATAAAAATGTATGGCTCCAAAAAGATTGAGGTTTTTAAGCATATAGTTGTTCTTTTGGCGTGTAGCCTTTTAAATAGACTGTCAGAAAAAGATGGATCTCCTATACTTTTATAGCCACCCTTTTTCCGCTCCCTTTCTTTTTTGCACTGATACTCACACACACATACATTTGTTTGTCTTAGTCATTGTGTCTGTGGTAGTGTGTGACAGAAAGAGCTGCAGGGTAGAGTGGCTCCAAAGAGAGCATCTTTAATCAGCATCCGGAGTTGGAGATTGAATCTCGTCCTCTGTGTCTCATTCAGGGCTTTAGCTGGACTCTTACACATACTGACACACACTTTGACCATATACACACTAACAAATACACTAGCACACATGCTTTTTTGGGAGGAGAACTTCAGCCATCACATGTGGTTGCTAAGCTGTTGCTTTGCCGTGCCAAGATGTTTTTAGTGCGTTCCTAAGCGGTTACTAGGAATCAAGGTGGTTACTAGAATGTTTTTGGTTTGAATGCTCATAATTGGTTTACAGTTACTTTATGAATTACATGTTTACATACTATTCACACAATGGCAGTAAATTATTCATAATTTACTGATTCTCCCCAGTTCTTCTTTTTTCTCTCTTAATTTTTCCTTTCTAAAAATCCTACTGTGTGTCATACCATTTAGCTTTGACTATATTCACAAATGGCACGTAAATAAATTTGCACACCATGCTTTTGAATGTGAGGGGAAAAAAACTCTCAAGCAATTAGACCATATATGAAACAAATAATTATGCAAGTTACTAAACACTGGTGATGTATAGCTGTGAAACACTATGCCATCATCATATCCAATGACCTTCAGTAACTGTTGATTCTGAAGGTTTGGACAAAAATATTTCAAACCAGGAAGACTTTGGGAATGTAATGTCATTGTTGTTTATTAATATTTGTTAATGAAACACAGAGATTCCCAAACAGTTCTCTGATGTCGGTTAATGGTCATACTGACATGCAGGTAAACAAATAAAATATTTATATTTTTAGTGTTCAAGTGTTTAAACTGCACTTCTTACATTAAGCCCAGTTTGGGAACCCTGGTGTAATGTAATGTTTAGCGCATTTAATTATATATATATATGTGTGTGTGTGTGTGTGTGTGTGTGTGTGTGTGTGTGTGTGTGTGTGTGTGTGTGTGTGTGCGCACACACA